AATAATAGTAAACTAAAACCATAGAAATCAGAGGAAAGAAATGATAAATATAATAGTAAAAAAAAAAAAAGAGAGAGAAAAGGACATACAGCAGAGAAGATTTAAAAAGCCAAAAGTTGATTCTATGAAAGACTGAATAAATGAAAAGAGAGAAGTCATAAAATATGAATATCTGGAATAAAAAAGAGGTCATTACTACAGATCTACTGAGTTTTCAAAAATAATATAAAGTTATAAATGACTTTATGAGATTAAATCTGAAATTTCATTTGAATTGGGAAAATTCCTAGAAAAATTCATGTTACAGAAACTGAAACAAAAAGAAACAGCAAATCTGAATGGTCTTCTATCTATTAAAATAAAGTTGGTCACAAAAAACAATTTAGTCCAGACAGTTTCACTAGTTAGTTATCCAAATAGTTAAGGAAAAATTAATACAAATCTTAATCACTGCCAGAGAACAAAAATAAGAGAAAAACCATTCCCAACTTCCTGTAAGCGGTCAGCACAACCCTATGATCAAAACCTAACAATCACATTAAAAAAGAAAAAAATCACAAGCCAAACTCTTTCACAATCATAGGTGTAAGAATATGAAACAAAATATTAGAAAACAAAATATGGCAATATATGAAATTGTTAATACAAATGATCAAATTTAATTCAATTCCAGGATAGTAATTAGGATAAATATTTTTAAAGCAATGGTAAATAAAGAAAAAAAGTATGATTATCTAAATAAGATGTAATAAAGTTTTAATAAAATTCATTATCATTTTTTTAATTTAAAGGTTCTTAGCAAATTAGGAACTGAATGGATCCTCTTTAAGATGATAAAGGTATCTATTTAAAACGACTACACCAAACAGCATACCTAATAGTGAATTATTAAAACCTTTCCCAATGCAGACAGGGAGTAAAAAAGGCTAACTATTATCACCATACCTCTTAATTTTATAATGGATGTCTAGCCAGTCCAGTAAGTAAATAAAATGGAAATGATGGTCATAAGATTGAAAAGAGCAGAAATCAATGAAATACAAAACTGAAAAACTGTAGAAAAAATCAGTAAACCGAAAGTATTTGGTATTTTGTTTTTTGAATACATTCATAAAATTGGATAACCCTTAGATAAGCTAATTAAAAACAAAAGATAAATTACAAATTTTCAATACCAGACATGAAAGAAGAGATATGACTACAAATGATGAGCATAATAAATGATATAAATAGTTCATGCAGTAAATTCAATAACTTAAATGAACAAATTCTTAGAATTTGCAGCTATCAAAACTTAAATGCAGCTTATCAAAACTTAAAAAGGAAAAATCTTAATGGCCCTGTAACTGTTAAAGAAGTTAAAAACTGGGCCAGCAGAGTGGCGCATTGGTTAAGAGTTGGCTTGGGATGCAGAGGGCCCCAGTTTGGATCCCACATGTGAGGGCCAGTGACATTGCCCTCCGCAGCTAAGATGCTGAACAACAGCTCAACCTGGAGCTGGACTGCTGTGAGTCGCTGGCGTCGGTGTAGTCTGCAGCCCTTGCTGCAGTGGGTTGCCATGGGCTACCNGCAATGATGGTGCCAGCTTGGGCCAGTGAAGCAACATCCTCCACAACTAGACTGAAGAACAAAATGACAGCAACTTGTCTGTTCCCCTTCCCCCAATTCACCAATAAAACCTTTAAAAAAACAAAACAAAAACTTTCACACAAGGAAGACTTAAGGCCCAAATGCCTTTACTTGTGAATTCTATTAGTATTTAAGGGAGAAATAATTCCAATTTTACAGAAATTCCTTATGGAATGAATACTTCCTAACTTGTTTTATAAAGACAGCATTATTATCTGGCTACCAAAACCTGACGTATTATCCAGAAAGAGCACTAAAAATAAGAGAAAGATGTTAAGAGACCTGGTAGAAAGATTCAGAAGTTTCAGCATATAACCCTCAGGAGTTCCAGATGGAGAGAATAAAAATATGAGGTGAGAAAATATTTGTAATATTAAAAGCTGAAAATTTCCCTGAATTAAAGATATTAATAAATATGTGAATCTTCAAATTACATTAGCATAAACTCTGAGTCATTTTAATGGAAGTAATTCATAACTAGACTCAAAAAAAAGGAAAAAAGTAATTATAATCTAAGCTAATCTATTAAAAATGTGGCTGAAATAAAGCCATTTTCAGAAAAAGAAACACTGAATCAGTTTGCTGCCACCCACAGACCTTCCTAATAGAATTCTTCATATATTTTAAAAGTAAAATAAAACACAGAATGAAGTAGGCAGAGGAAGCAAATTGGAGGAAAGAAATTAACACATGTCTAAAAAAAAACACTGCCTATACGAATTCCCCATAATTATATTGTTTAATTTATTGGGTGTCAGATAAAGTAGAATTAAAAGAGTAAACAAAAATAACATAAGTGGCGTGCAATGATATGTAATCAGTCTAGGGATATCATTGTTCCAGATAAGGGTACAACTATTGATCATATTTTACTAATTAATTATGCACGCCAAAACGTAAGAGTTAATCAGTTATAAAAAGAAGCATGAAAAAGAGAAGGCAAGAAGGAAGATATTGGGTATTTTCTCAACCAGTAGAGATGGGGGAAAGAACATAAAGATAAAATTAATACAAAAGAGGACAAGAAGGAAAGAAACTTGAAAAAATAAACAAAATAAGATGATAAAATTAAAATATATCTGTATATAAAATAAACGTAAGGTGATTAAGGTAGGCTATTCACAGACAACGTCAGATTGGATTTTTTAAAATGAAGGTATCTTCTTTTAAAAGTATGTACTAAAAGATAAGAACATAGACATTTTAAAAAATAGATGGGAAAATGAAATCTCTGTAAAATATTAGTAAAAAATGGGCAAAATAGCCTTATTACTATCAGATTATTATCAGAGACAGATGTAACTGATTTTGTTGCTTATTCTACTGCTCAAAGGCAATTAATCACTGCTCAGTGCCAGCAGAATAAAATCCAGACTCTGTAGCATGACTTTCAAGGATCTTCACGGTTGGATACAGCCTTCCTTTGGACAGATCTATTCGTCTTTGATCTCTCAGCTCCTGTCACAAAGATGATATGTAGTAGACACTCGAATATTTATTAAGTTCAGATGAAAGAAAAGAACCACTATCCGTGCAATCATTGTAACATTTACCTGCATAATGTCCTCTTCACTTTTTTCATAGGTATTTTTTCTTTGAAAAAAAATGGGAGAAACATTTATAATTCTGTATCTAATATATTGACAACTAAGCAAAATTTCTTTCCCTCATGCCTCTTCCTTTCCCCTTCCGCCACCACTGCTGTAGACTTTAACAAAATACTTTCTTTCCAGAGGATAATTTTTGGAGCACCCCCTCTCATTTTTTATACTACCCCCCCTCTTTCCTCTCGTTTCCCCGGTTGTTCTTTCCTCTTCCTTCTCCTCTCCATTTTCATCCTCTCCACCCCGCCTCTTTTCTTTGCTATTCTCTTCTCTTTGTAAATTTATCTGTATTATCAGAACTCAAGAAAAGAAGTGATGGTGAGAGAACTTCAAGAGTGGAGAACCTGAGAATGGGAGTCTTTTCTGTTTAGATTTGTCACTTGATAATGACAAACTGAACATGTTTTATAGGGGCCGTGAGCTGCCTCACATTGGTCCAGATGAATGGTTTTTACATCAAAAGGCACATAGGGCTCACTGGGGAGGGGGGCTATTTTATGAATTCATGCTGTTTCCCAAACCACCCCCATATTCATTTCACAGTCTGTACTAGGGATAGTTGGGATGCCATGTTGTGTGTGTGTGTGTGTGTGTGTGTGTGTGTGTGTATGTATAATTTGAAAAAGCTTTCTAAACTATTCTGGTGGGATTGCATTTCTACCAAGTACAGTCCTAGAAAAGAACCCCTAATATAAACGGATCAGTCTCATACTACAAGATAAACAAACACCCCCAAAGCCATCATATTGGAAACCTCATTTTGTACATGAGGAATTATATAACGAAGCTCTAAGGCAGCGGTTCTCAGCCTGTGGGTCGCGACCCCTTTGGGGGTGGAATGACCCTTTCACAGGGGTCACCGGTACTGGTATGTGGGCGTGTCTACATGTGGGCCTGGAGACGGATAGAGGAGCGGTGTCTCGGTTCCTAAGACCATCGAAAATATGTGTTTTCCGATGGTCTTAGGCGACCCCTGTGAAAGGTTGAGAACCGCTGCTCTAAGGGAACATGGGAATTTTCTGTAGAATATATTTTCCTACTGGGCAAGGATACCCCAACTCATTGACTCTCTCGCCTTGGTATGAATCAGCACCAATAAGAGCTTTAAGCAAATTAGATGCTTAAGTCTCATCCCTGGAGATAGGAGTTCAAGCGGTCTGGTCCTGGTTCATACATTGGCATTCTTTCTAAAGTTTTTCAGGTATTTCTAACATGCAATCTGAATTGAGAAACTTCACGAACTGCTCATAATTAAATAGGAAAACAAAATCTGTTTCATTTGGGAACTTTCTTATGAAGCACTGGGATCTATGCTCACTCAAGATTTTTGCCAAGGGAATTGTAGAATTGAATAGAGAGATATGTGGACTTTCTGCAGTGACAAGAATTAGGGATCTAAGTGCACAAATCTGTTACTTCAGATAGTATTAAACAGGAAATTTGGTGAACAGAAAAGAAACAAGAATATCCTGAATGAAAAATACTGAGAGCCCAAGGAGGGGACAGATGAGTATATAGAAGAGTAGATCAAGAATACATAGGGAAGGAACTAAAATGAAAATGAGAAAAACAAAACTAAAGAAAACAGTAGGTAGACGGGCAGGAAAAGGATGCACAACTTAAAATGTGAGTCAATTTTTTATTAATTTTTGTAACTTTCCACTACTCTATCCAACACCATATCAAGGTTTTTGGCCAAAATAAAACTAGATATCCAGTACACTTTTCTTAATTAATTTCCATTCCATGAAAAAAATTAAAGATGAATTATTATATTTCATGTGTATTCTTTACATTTATTTTTTTCTAATAGATCATATTTACATGACAGAAATTTACCTTTAAATGGCATTTCAAAGATAGAAACAAAGACAGAACAATTAGATACAAAAACAAAAGCAAAACCTTTATTCTTTTGGCTTGATTGTAATGTGGTTTACCGTTCTTTATGGTAATAGCATTTTCCTGCATGCATTTCACCAACACACTACAAGGCAATAGCTTTAGTATAAAGAATCTACATTTAATGTTGCTTGTGAAAAAAACGCAAAATGTGTTGCTGTAGCTGGTAATATAATTTCACTACCTGGCTTTGTGGGTGGGATTGGGAGGGGAGAGCTTAGATCCCATATCATAGCTGATACAGTTCTAGTGCCATATGGGTCGATAAGAATAAGATCTATCTGCAGAAACAAACACTGGAGAAGACTGATGATTTCCTCAATATGAAGACTAGGTGGAAACATCTGATTCAAGCAACGCCAAGAGTATCAGCTGATCTTTCCTTAAGCTGCTCCTGATGATAAGGCATCACTATCTGAAAGCAAATAAACGTTGGGCTCAATCTGAGATTTGTTTCACATTGAAAAGTGTGCAAAATTTACAGTACTAATAAAAAAGCAGAAACCTACACTGCATCTTAGTCTTTGCTTCTTATTTTGTGAAGTGCTTTCATTTAAAAGTGCTAGAAATAGAAACTAACAACAGTGACTGTGACATCAACCTGAAGATACTTTTAATTTCTCATTTTATGTACAAAAAGCTGAAAAATAAAATAAAATGAACTTTTTACAGTATTTATATTTTCTTAGAAAATTCTAACCATAGATTTTCAACAGATTTAAGCAGCTGGCAACATGTTTGCACAGTTGGGCTTTTTAACCATACAGTGTTCAGTTAAGATTGGAAGAATAAAACGCAAGAAGCTCTTCTTTGCTGCAACCTATTGCTCAACGACATAAAGAATGAGGTCTTGGTAGAACAATTGGTTTCACTTCACCACTGACATATGGCTTCCCATATCAGACTTCTGAACAGTGGAAAGAGAAGGATACAGCAGCATAGGCAAGATAAACATGCAGCAGTGACAGCTTCAAACTATAATGGAACCAATTACATCATATTACCTTTTGAAAGCTTGCAAACTATACGTAGTGGTACATATTTGATGCAATAAATACTGTGCTTAAGTCATCATTTTTGTTTGCTCAAACATGCACCACTGGGTAAAATTACTATTTACAAAGCAGACTTTTATTTTTTAAATTGACATACACTATGTCAACCTTACCAAGAGCAGAAGATGGCTAAACAATACTGCAGGGAAAAGCAGAATCAATTTCATAGAGTGGTTGTGGGGGATGCATTTTGGTCAATTCAGGTTCAAGAAAGGACTGATAGAACATTTTTATTTTATGTCAAAGGACACTTACCAAACATGTTATAGTCATGCTGTGGGACTCTGAATGACTGTGTAATGGGGTGTGTGTGTGTGTGTGTGTGTGTACATATACATGTATACACACGCACATATACATATATACATATATACATGTACATATAATGAATTATGTAAAAATAAAATAATTCTTTAATGCTTGTGGGTTCTATGGAACATTTACAGGCACATTAAAAATTTTCTGGATGAGACACCTTAAAAACATGAATAGCTATTTAAGCACCTCAAAAATCTAAAAACATCCTGAAACAAGAAGTAAACTCTTTCCTTTTGTGATGTGATTTTTTAATGTATGAATAAGTGCAGCATGCCTTCATTTAAAATATATCCAATTATACAATAGAGAAATGTAAATATTCCTTACCTTTAATCCCTCTCCCCAAACATAAACCCATTTACAAAAATAGTCACATATAATAGTAAACAACCTGTGAATTAAAACAAAAAGTGAGAAATTCGCAGCATACATTTCATAAAAATATGGCAGATGTGGCAGTTAAACATAAACAGTGGTGACAATTACTATTATCAAGTGTCACATGTCAAATTTACATAAAAATTTAACTTCCCTCCCCCTTTTAAATTGGTTCCTATCATCTGAGTAGCCATTACGTCTCTGCTCTTCAGCAGTGTCAGCTGGTTGTAAAGACAGAAACCTCCTGTCAATGCAGTTTTTCTGGTTTATTGAGTCCCAGGTTGCAGACCAGAGGTCTCTGTCTTGTTATAGGCACTGACCTTAAGTGTACATTTGTAAAAACAGTCAGTTTGGCATAGACCTTCTGTGGGAATCCTGTTGACACTAATTACATCACCATCACAGGCTGTAAACAATGGATCACAAAATGAAGTATTCTTTGTTTCTTGTTTTACTTTTTACTTTCCCTGATATCTTTCCCTTTGTCTTCCTTTTCGGATTTGTCTTTTTCAAATTTTTCTTTTTCTGGTTTGGTCACACTATCATACGAAGGTGGAGAAGTGGTGGAAGGAGTCACATCGGTTTTCTCTGGCGTTGAGTTCTCATTTAGTTTATCAATGAGGGCCTCTTCTTTGATAGGCGTTCCATCACCTTCTTTCCCTTTGTCCTTCTTATATATAGAGGAAACCTTTTTAACTTTTTGCTTCAAGAGGTAGCGTCTATAAGCCCTCTGGATAACGACAGCAGACACCTCCTCTTGTTTGCGTTTCAAAGTGGTGGTGATGGGCTCATAGGAGACTTTGGAGGGGTTCGATGCCATGAACCGGTCTTCCATCTGTATTCGAAGGGCATCCATCTCTCCACTCTCACCCAAAACACGCTTTGTAAAGGCAAATAAAATGTCGAGGCAGTGGATCCGGTCCCCACTGACCATGGGCAGATCCATGGCGATGAGCTGGACCTTGTTTGGTTTTGCTATGAGAAGAGGAGGATCCAGGGCAGCGGCAAAATCAGAGAGCTTGGAGAACTCAATAAACTGGGTGGCATCGGGGTCAAACTTCTCCCAAACCTCGTAGAACATCTCAAAGTCATCCTCACTCAGGGGCTCTGCACTTTCTTCAGTAGCAACACTGAAGTTCTCCAGGATGACAGCGATGTACATGTTCACCACAACCAGAAAGGATATGATGATGTAACTGACAAAAAAGAAAATCCCAACAGATGGGTTCCCACAGTCTCCTTTAACTGAGCTTCCAGGGTGATCTTTCTCAGGGTCGCAGTCAGGAGGTCCACTGTTGAGAATAGGTGCCAACAAACCGTCCCAGCCCGCAGAGGTGGTAATCTGAAACAGGCAGATCATGCTGTTGCCAAAGGTTTCAAAGTTGAACATGTCATCAATTCCAACTTCCCTCTTAACGTAGGCAAAGTTGGACATTCCAAAGATGGCGTAGATGAACATGACCAGGAAGAGCAGGAGGCCGATGTTAAACAACGCAGGAAGGGACATCATCAGAGCGAAGAGCAGCGTGCGGATCCCCTTGGCCCCTTTGATCAGACGTAGGATTCGGCCAATCCTGGCCAGACGGATCACTCGGAACAGGGTAGGGGACACAAAATATTTTTCTATCAGCTCAGCCAGAAACATGCCTGTGGAAAACAACACATATAGTATTATATTTAATAGCAGCAAATGAAAATTTACATTGCTAAGATAAACACTAGCTAGTTTTAAAAAAAGGGGTCATGAGGATTGGGTATACACACACAAACACACACACACAAACACACACATTTATATATACATACACAAACATCTGCAATATTTGTTCAGCAAAATTAAAATGGCATGTTTAGTGTTATAATATTAACACCTCTTAAATAACTTAAGGTATTCAAAGCCATTTTTCCTAGTTCAAGAAAAAACATCTATCAAAAGAAAGACTCAACCACTGAAGGTCTAAATATGTCACAAAGTATAGGGCAGCCAAGCACAGAAATGGATTTATGTTTCTAAAATACTAGTCCTGGTATTCGCATAAGAACTAATGGATAAGGCATGTGATTTTGAATTGATTATATGAGAGTTCTTATTCTGAGATGGTTGTGATCCATTTTATTTGGGAGGTGGTAGAATGATTTTTAGGAGAGAATTTGGGCTTTGGAAACAGATGTACTTTGGGACTGAAACTTGGCCCTTGATTTTATGTATCACTAAATGATTTTGTTGTTGTTGTTGTTTTTAAATATTTACTGAGTCTTTTCTTTGTGCTTGGAAGTGCTACATTCATTTACTTACATAATCTCATTTAATCTTCACAACAACACTTTGCGGAACTATTTCTTGGAAAACCAGGGATTGGAGAGGTGCGGTGACCTGCCATGGGTCACAAAGCTGGTAAGTAGGAGAAATAAGGTAGCTCCAGGCCAGGTTTGTATGACCCCTGGCGTTCTCATCCTTTAATCACTATATTACTACCAAATAGCACTTGTGTGAGGATTAAATGGAATGGCACATTGTTTCAAAGTTCTATTTCACCAGAGTAAGAGTATAATAGTGCAATGCTATGTTTCTCTCGATGTGTATGTTCTTTTTCCTCAAATAGACCCAACCTTGTCTTAAATCTCTTATATTTACTTTCAGCACCTCATTTAATGTCCCATACATAAACGCTTAATATGTACTAATGATAATGAATCTGTTTTAAATAAGTGTCTACTTCTGAAGAATATTACAAACCATAGAAAACTGTCTGAACCCAAAGGTAGCATGGAGCTTACACGAGGTCTGACAATTAAGTTTGAGAACTCGTTGCAACAATGTTGCTAATCTTTTTTGATATCAGAGGGGTTATTCATTATGAATTTGTACCAAATGGACAAACAGTTAACCAAGTTTACTATTTGGAAGTGCTGAAAAGGCTGCGTGAAAAAGTTAGATGACCTGAACTTTTCACCAACAATTCATGGCTCTTGAATCATGACAATGCACCAGCTCACACAGCACTATCTGTGAGGGAGTTTTTAGCCAGTAAACAAATAACTGTATTGGAATACCCTCCCTACTCACCTGACCTGGCCCCCAATGACTTCTTTCCTTACCTGAAGATAAAGGAAATATTGAAAGAAAGACGTTTTGATGGCATTCAAGATATCAAGGGTAATATGACAACAGCTCTGATGGCCATTCCAGAAAAAGAGTTCCACCTTTTGAAAGGAGGACTAGGTGCTGGCATCGGTGCATAGCTTCCCAAGAGGAGTGCTTCGAAGGTGACCATAGTGATATTCAGCAATGAGGTATGTAGCACTTTTTATAGGATGAGTTTGCAAACTTAATTGTCCGACCTCGTATGCATGTGGGAATACATATAAACACACATATGCACAGTTCCAATTATCAAGGAGATCTTATTTATGGACTGTTTGACTACTTCTAGTGATTTATATGTGTATGTGTGTGTTAATTGTTTATTCAAAGCAATACTTGTCTGTACGAGAGTAGTATAACTGAGTATGGGAGTATTATGCCAAAGTTGCAGTTATTGTCTTCTAAAATAAGACAATGATAAATGAAAGCTGAAAAATACAAATTCTTTTTTTTATACATCATTTCATGCATAACATGCAATTAGAGCTATGACAAGCTGAAGAATGGACTGTTAGACTTTTATTTGAAATTTCTGGATGAATGAAGACAATAGTGAAAAACACTTTCAAAGTTCTAAAATAGAAATTGTTACTACTAACTTCTTTAATTGGGGGAAAGCACTTCTTACCTACAATGGAAAGAATGACCACCACAAAATCAAAAATATTCCATCCGATGGTGAAATAGTAATAACGAAGAGAGATTAGTTTCAGCACACATTCTCCAGTGAACAGGACAATAAACACCAGGTTAATCCAGTACAAAATGTTTGTCATTTCTTGACTCTGGTCGTCAGTTTCCACCATCATGGTGACCATGTTGAGGCAGATGAGGATCATAATGCTGATATCAAAGACTTGTTTGGTTACAAAATCAAAGACCATTCCTTGGAATTTGTTCTGGAACAAATAATATGTAAAAATTCATTTAAAAAATGGAAAAAAAATCAAGTTCAACTCATCCGATTTTAACATGGCAGTATGAAAATGCACCATGTTTGTTTTGTGCTTGGAAGAAAATTTTGTATGTTGGAATATCCAACAGTTTTCAAATGTATTAGTTTTATTTATGCTGCTCATGATACCAGATTTTATAAACTGATTTTATGTTAAGAATTACTGGGCTGGCCAAGTGGCTCAATTGGTTAAGAGCTCGCTCAAGAGTTTGAGCTCTGAGCAACAGTGGTTCGATTCTCAGCCCAAGCTGAGCAGCTGCTGAGCTGCCAACAGGTGGCAGGATGGCTTACCTTAAAAAAAAAATTACTTATGTTCTCAGTGCTCAGAACATCATCATGTGTATGATGGATAGTCAGTAAATATTTGCCACTCCAATAAATCTTTGGTATCTCCTGAGTTGGGGGTAGGTATCAAAATTTGCTTTGAAGAATTAATAACTAAATACTTCTCCAGGTTTTTCTGTCTTTATTCCTAGTGTCTGCCTTTATAGTCTCTGCCCAAAGCCATAGCATCTTAAATTCTACCGTAAAGTTTTTAACTGAGATGTTTTAAAAATTATAATTCAAGAAAAAGGACATCAGTGGAACAGCTGGTGAAATCCAATTAAGTTCTGTATTTTATTTAATGGTATTGTACCAAGGTTAATTTCTTAGCTTTGATAACTGATCTATGGTTATGTAAGCTGTTAAAATAAGGGAAAACTAGGTGAAGATTATGTGGGGTAACTCTTCTGTACAAATAAAATTATCTTTAAAAAGTGATAGTTTTAATTCAGATGTTCCAGCTTTGCCCTATTTAATTGGGTCCTTATTTCCAAGCACTGCCTGGCCTTATGTCTTGTTTATGAAGTTAAGTCCTCATCTTGTAAACCAGTTCTGCTAATTGGACCATGTTTGATTCATTTTTGCCTCTATCCACATCGTATTTCAGGCACCCTAGGGCATGAACCTTGGCTAAGTTCTGCGGGGCTGTCCTCTCTACCTTCTCAACTAGAATGACTGATTCTGCTACTTATAGTAGGCTACATCATTGTCTTCTTTCTCAAACAGACACGTTTTCAGGACTGGATTCTCTATACTCGTGTTCTGAATTCCCCCTGATGAGGGGCATCCATTTCTCCCTATTGAAATTCTTGGACATCAAACACCACATGTTTGTTATGGTTCACTCTTTGAATACATATTTGACATGCTGGATTGGACTTCTATTGCTCCACCTGGGTTTGTCCTTCTAGGACCTCCTCCAACCTAATAAATGCATTTAATTCCAGTTTCAAACCCTTCCTTCTTACTTCTTGTTTACTGCAGTTTCCTTTTCCAAGTCTGGTTATGTTTCTCTTATTTCTACCTTTCTGATATTTCCTAACACTCCTCTATCATATCTTTTTATCTTGTTTATTTATCTCCGCTGAAACAGACTTCCTTCACCCCTTCTCTGTCTGGTGAATTCTAACTCCGTTTTAACCTTTAAGCACTCTGTGCTCTTAGAAAACTTTGTGGTTACATTTGTCATAATATTGATGACGCTGTATTGTAAATGGTTTACTCTTATTTAATTTTAATTTTCACTTCTACTCATTTGGGGGTCTGCAAAGACAGAGCAGTGTCATTTTTCTCTCAAATATAGCACCTGGAGTGTAGAGGGCTCAAAATTGCTTAAAAGTAAAAACTTGGTGTTTATTTTCATATTAGCATGATCAATAAAAAGCACCTTAGGGTCCATGACAGTAGAGTTTCCACCCCACTCTTTTGATTGTCAAATTCTGCAAACTAGTATTTCCAATTTTCTCACCATTCATCTTCCTAATTCATATCCTGCATGACACCCCTATTCATTTAGTTGTATAAGGCAGAAACTCTTGTCATATTTGTTTCTTCCTTCTTCAACTCTTATATTCAATTTGCAGACAAGCTTTTCAATTTCATTCCTGTGATAGCTCACAATTCCATTCACTTTTATTTACCTCCACACCACTCTGGTTCAGGCTACTTACCATCTGAGATATAGCCCCCAAACAAGTCTAAAATGCAAAACCACTGCCTTTGTCAATACTGGTTGACTGTCTCCACTAAACTCAAACAGAACAGGACCCCTTCAGTGGCTTCCTATTGCTCTAAGGACAGAGACAGCTCTTGAGCATGGCCTACGAAGCATAGAAGAGTCTGACTTATCCTAATCACCATTGTCAATGTGACTCAAACGAATCCTTGCTCTGCACTGCAGCCTCACCGGCCTTCCTATCTCAGGGCCTTCCCATGTGCATCCCTCTTCTCCTAAAGAGCTTATCTTTTCCACTTTGCCTATTGACACTTTCTCATTATTCTTCAGTCCTCAGCTCATGCATCACTTCAGTGAAGCTTTCCCTAACTTCCTTATTAATCAGCTCCCTCCCTCTTATCAGCTCTCACAGCCAAGTGTATTCTTTCTTTCTTGGATATTTCTATTGGTTGGTGTGACACTTGGATTATAATTTGTTGCACCAAATAGACTCTACGTTGTTCAATATTTAAATTCCAAATGCTTAGCATGGTACATTCTTAATGAATGACCGAATGGGTGGATTTTACCAGATCATTTCCTAATTTTCCAAATTTTCATCAATAATATTCTACTATAGCTAAATGCACTGATCTCTTCCCATCATCCCTACCCCTAAATGTCATTTGATGTAATTAAACAGCCTCTTTTTTTGAAATTTTCTCATTCATCTCTCTCTATATATACTGCCTTAGTGATCAATCTCATTCCTTTGTTGATTTACTTCTTCCTGTAATGGTGAAGTGCCCAAGGCTTCATGCTTAGCACTTTTCTTTTTTGTCTATTCTAATTATCTTTCAAAAATGAATCAATGCTTCAGAGCTCAACTGAATTGTGTTTGACAACTCTAAAATACTATCTCAGCCTGAAATTTCATAGGACCTAAATCTGTATTTCCAAATGCATTTACCAGACTTTCATGTATGTTAGTGGAGCCATAAATGAAACTCCACAAAACATCAACTGTTTTAGATTCTTTACTATCTATATGTCCTCCTTCTTTTCCTATATTTTATAGCTGCCTCATCTCACTGAATCTTCTTCTTGGTTCATTTATCTCCTGTGTTCCAATCCTATTGGCATGACCCCACATTATGGACTCATCTTCTTAATCTCATACCCAGTGTTATTTTGTCTCTAACATCTTCTCATACCAATGTCTAAAATCTACTTTTTTGACATTACCATGTTGTTCTTTTAACTATATTGCATTTGTATTGCTTAATTAAGATCAATTACTTCAGACTCGTAGAGGTAACCTGGACTCATTTAACCCAGAAAAATCTTGTGTTTACTACTCACTAATTCAAATGTATAACTATTCTCAACTAAAATATTTATTTCCACGGCTCTGGAGTAGACATTTTCTCATACAGGGAATGTATTCTGCTTTCCTTCCCATCCATTCAAATTGCATTATTTCTCAAAAAGACTAGGCTCAAACTGCACATTCCTTATGTCTTATCCAATATAGTTACCTACTTTCTTGGAGCTTTTGGCCTACAAACTGAACATGGCAAGGCCAGTTTCATATTGTCACTAATCTGTTCATAGAGTCTCAATTCCTGGGGAAGACTGGACTGACTTGCCCCATGTATACCTTAAGGGCAGAGTTCTGAGACTTAATATCTGAGGTATTCTTTCAGGAGTGATGGAAGAGTTCAGGGACTTGCCTGACAACAATTCCCTGTAGCAACCAAACAGGCAGCAGCAACTGGCATATATACAATTGGAATAGCCATAAAAAGAATCATATTACATGACTTAGGGACAAGATCTAGGGGGAAATAGATTTTTGTAAAAACAATAACAAAAACAAAAAAAACTGTGACTTGTTTCATTAATGATTCCATTCAATCTGCAGTTGGACAAAAATTGGGGCATATCTGAGAGGTTCAATAATCACAATTGGTCTCCACTACACTCTGAGAATATTCAATATTTCAACATATATACATATGGTTATGTTTTCTTCTCTATATTATTAGGAGCTCCTCAGTGACATCAAGCTTATGTAATACTATTGGTATATAAGTCAGAAATATATATATATATATATATATATATATATATATATATATATGGTTGTCAGAAAAGTCATGACGTATCTTTTCTGTTTTTTATTGCAAAAATGCATCATGACTTTTACAACAAATATATATATATATATATATATTTTATAATGTGTCTACATGAAATATATATTTATACATATTGAATATATGAAATACATTTGATTAGGCTATTTAGCTAGTCACATTGTTGAGGTAACACTTCGTTTTACAAATTCTCAAAATACATCTAGCAATTTGGGCTGTGAAAGTGATAGATAATATAGCTTTTACTGGTGATGAAAGTATGTTATACTTACAGCAGGTCGAGGTATGGGTTTTTGTGGTTTCTTTGAACCCAGTTTTTTCATTGCATTATAGTATTTCTTCTGTTCTTCTGTCATAAAAATGTCTTGACCTCCAAAGTAAAGAAATGAAAATAAAACAAGTTAAAATCATGTTCTTTGCTAGTTATGAAATCCTCCTTAGTAGTTGTATGAAAATTGGCTCTACATTCTATTCTAATGTTGTTAATTAATATCTGTATTTATAGAGATGCATACATTCAGTACATAAATTATGCCATATTAGTCAGATTTCTATACTGGAAATATCAAAACATGCTATCTGAATTATTAATTACTTAAAATTGGACAGCAGATTACATCTCTCAAAATAATTTTTGAATTTCATATTCTTTCTTTTTGGTGATTGCAGTTTGGAGTCAAAAGGAAACGGTGTGACATGTTCAGTTCAATTTTAGAGCAAAAATGAAGTTTCGGTATACTTATCTTCTTTTTCTGTTGGTTGAAGTTATCTATGATGACACCAATGAAAAGATTCAGAGTAAAGAATGAACCAAAAATAATAAAGATGACAAAATAAAGATACATGTACAGATTGTCTTCATACTTGGGCTGTAATTCTACCTACAAAATATAAAGAATGATAACAATTAGACCTAATACTTGTTTCATAAACAGGACATAAGCGACTTTCAATTCTCAAAGCATGTCTCATTCTAGATTCTGAATGCAATTTATAAGCAAAGGCCCTAATAGGGCATGCAAAGTGAGGATTTCATCTTCCTACAGAAGAGATGTTAGAGTCACACTATTCCATGTTAAACTTTTAAAAGTTACTCTCTGACTTAGTTTCTTCATCTGTAAAACGGAAATAATAAAACCTAAACCTCATATGGTAGTTGGGAAGGTTAAATATAAAAAAGTACTTAAAACAGTGCTTGGCCAATCCTAATAGCTAAGTGTAAAGGTATGATTTCTATTACACATTTCTTTTGATAGGTCAGAATCAATGCATGTGTGGATACAGGTATACCAGCAGGATCTTTCCATTCTGAATATAAGTCTACACACAGCCTACTAAGTAGGCCTGAGGCGCTGGTTCTGTAACAATGATACCCTCTTTTGTCCAGCACAGTTTTGATAAAAAAAAAAAAAAAGAAAATGTGATAGTTGGTTTGTGCTTTGGTTGTAATCTATTTTTCAGGCCTCACAGGGTATTATTCAAACCAATGCAGTTAACTAGTCATAGGAGGTAATGGATGCAAGTAATGACTCATTGTGTCATGAAATCAATTTAGAGGATAATGGCCAACATGAAATTTTTTTTTCTAGTGAAATAGGGTAAAACAAAAAATACTAGAAATATTATAAAAATGTATAGTCTTTGATGAGACTTTTATGTCATTTATTGTGTGTGTAATAGAAAGTAATGATATTTTTAAATGTTTTAAAATTATTGGGTTGTATGGAAAAGTCATGACGTATTTTTTTCTGTTTTTCATTGCAAAAATGCGTCATGACTTTTCCAACAACCCATAACTACAATACATACACAAAAGTGCACAGCATATAAGTGTACAATGTAATAAATTGTTATAAAGTGAATTTCACAGCCCAGGACATCGCCAGGTCTTCAGAAAACCGTGGTGTCCTTCTCAAAGAGAAATGACCATTCCTGCTAGAAGTGATCATTATCCTTACTTTTATGGTAATTGTTTTTTGCTTTTTCTTTGGCGTTAACATCAAAGCATGTATTTTTTTTTTAATTGGGGAATTGGGGGAGGAGAACAGTGTTGGGGAATTGGGGAGGGTGACCAGTCAAGTTGTTGTTCTTCAGTCTTAGTTGTGGTGGGCACCAGTCGCCATCTGGCTGCCCGTCAGCAGCTCGTGGCCTCTAAGCTCAAAGTGTGTGTTACAATCTTAGTTGCGGGGGGAGGGCGTAGATGCCATCCCATGTGGGAGTGGAACCTGCAGCCTTGTTAAGAGCACACACTCTATTCACAGAGCTATCTGGGCAGCAGCTCAGTTTAAGGTGCCGAGTTCAGTCTTAGTTGTGGGTGGGCATAGCCACCATCCCATGCGGAAGTCGAAACGGCAGCCTTGTTGTTAAGAGTGCGTGCTCTATCCACTGAGCCATCTAGGTGGCAGCTCAGCTCAAGGTGCCAAGTTCAGTCTTAGTTGCGGGTGGGTATAGCCCACCATCGAACAGGCAGTCTTGTTGTTAGGAGCATGTGCTCTCACCAGCTGAGTCATCCTGCCACCTCTTGGCAGCTCAGCGGCAGCTCAGTGTCACTGGCCCATGTGGGAATCGAACCAGCGGTCCTGTTGCTCAGAGTTCACGCTCTTAAGCTAATTCTTAACCAGCTGAGCCACTTGGCCAACACAAAGTATGTATTCTTGAGCAACAGGTTAATTATGTCTACATTTTATGTGGTAGACACATTTGTTATAACTCTATTATATTTTTAAGATTCATCCACATTGTTGTGCATACCATATTCATATACAATTTTCATCACTGTATAACATTCAATTATCTGTCTATTTCCTCTACTTTTGAGTTGTTTCCAGTTTTTCTGTAAATACAAAAAATATGTTCATTCTTGTACATAGATTCTTCTACAAATGTGCACAAGTTTCTGTAGGATATAGCTAAAAAATGGAATTGCAGGGTTAAAGAATATCTTGAACTTTATTGAATAAAGTGATAATTCCTAGCCTTTTTTTTTAAGCTGAGCCATCCTGCCACCTGTTGGCAGCTCAGCAGCAGCTCAGCTCAGGCCGGGCATCGAACCGCTGTTACTCAGAGCTTGCACTCTTGAGTGAGCTCTTAATCAACTGAGCTACTTGGCCGGCCCCCTTAGATTAAAAAAAAAAAACACATTTATCCACTCTTTTCCCATTAGCAAGGTATAGGAGTTTTTATTGCTGTTTTATCCTTGGCAGCACTTGGTATTGTCGAAATTTTTAATACTGCCTATCAGGTAGGTGAGTAGGTGATATCTCGTTTTGGTTTAAATTTGCATTTCTCTGTTGCTAATGAGACAAAGAGTGAGCAACTTTTCATAATTTTTAGTGGGCAATTGAATTCCATCTTTTGCAAAGTGCTTGAATGGTAAGGAGTTAGGTAGCAGACAGTATGTGCCAAGTTATTAAGGAAGAAACTGAAAGTAAGTTGTATGTCATGTAGGTTATTGATAAAAAAAGGTAGAGAGAACTTTAAACGAAGTTATCAGTTTGTAGGAACTACTGTAGAAAGTAGTTTTGAGCCCATTCTTTGTGGTCAGATTTCAAAAACATGTTCTACCACTTAAGGTGTTAAGCCTCTTTGCTTCCATGTTAAAATGGAGCTAATATCAACTATATGATAAGGTTATTATTTAGGATTAAATGAGATAATGAAAGGAAGTCCTTAGCATAGTGATTGGTAAATAATAAGACATTACAGTAAGTCCCCAATTTACAAACGAGTTCCGTTCCGGGAGAACGTTAGTAAGTCGGATTTGTTTGTAAGTCCAACAAAGTGAGTCTGACACACTTTTGACACTCCTAGCAGTCCCCTCCACATCACCACTGCTTTTCCTCTTGCTTCTGGACATCCTGGGCTCTGATTGAGCACTGTACTACTGTCCACTATCGCACTGTACAGTAAGCACACAGCAGCACAACTGTGACAACCAGCAGCAGACACGGGAGTTACTTCTGCGAATTGTTTGCAACTCGAACGTTTGTAAGTCTGGGATTTACGGCATTCTTCTTAAAAAAAAAGCCCATATGTGGGATTCCTGACAGTACTTGCAGAGACACAACGCAGGGCTTTTAGCTCCTGTGCTCTCTTTATTACTAAGGTGAAAAAAACACACCTCAGGAATTCTCTCTGAGTTATGCCTGGTTGTTGGTGCTAGGGGAATAACATTTTGAGCTTAATTATTGGGTTGTTGGAAAAGTCATGACGCATTTTTGCAATGAAAAACGTAGAAAAATATGTCATGACTTCTCTGACAACCCAATGCTATGCTTGGGAAATATACCAGAAGCCAATCTCTTTTTTTCAAAATGTGACTTCCTCCCTCATTGTTGGACAATGAGAAATTAATAGAAATTCACAAAAAATTTTAAAAGTGCTGATGTGTATAAGGTAGTTTGTCAAAGCCCCTTTCTTCTACCACAAAAATATGACTTCCCAGAGAAAAACACAGTGCTAAATCTTTTGTTTTGCTTTCGGTTTCTTTTTTTCCACCATTAGTCGAGTCCTTTTTATTACAAGGAAGATCAAAAGCTGAAGGAAATCGGCGACACGTGAAAAAAGTGCCTGTGAAGGCTTCAGTGCACAAAATGGCCATAACTATTGAGCCAAAAATAAAATGTCTCATTTTGCAAAAACAGTCAACAAATTTTTAAGTGCCAGGTGCCATGCTAGAGACTAGAAAATATGTTAAAAGATTTGTAGCGAGTGGAGAAAAACATTGAGATCAAATATTGGAAGAAAAATGTTAGGTTGAATATTTTATTTTTGTAATACAGATGCACTTAAATTGACCCACGGTTTTATTTTGTTGATAATATCACTAAAATACAACCTCTGTAATATTCACTGGATCAAATTTAACACTTTTCTCTCTAAATAGACTTACATTTCGTGAATCAACAGCTGCATACATGATATCCATCCATCCCTTAAATGTGGCCTATAAAAAAGTCACATCATTTAATTTATTTTCCTTGCACAAATTATAATATTAGATAAGTAATTATCAGATTGATTGATCAAGATTCAGTCAAAACAGGTATATACAATAGTTTGGGGTTAATATTTAAACTCTTTGGACAAAGTTTTACAATATATGCTTTGGAAATACTTCAACATTATATTCTTCTATAACATATTTATATGTATCTTTAACATCTATAATTAAATCCTGATAAATTATAACACTATGCTATCATAAAACCAATTAACAACATTTGACTCTGATGTGTCTATAATATAATATGAAATCTGATGAAATAATTTCATGTATGTAGTCCTACAATAGCATCAGACAAGTTGAAACATACGGTTCATTGTTTGATCATAATGCTTTCCTTTCTATGTATCCTTTTCTAAATGGTATTATCACCAATCACGAATCATGATGGTTTGTTCCTGAAAATCTTCTTAATTTACTATAATATACCATATATTTAGAGGCACTATTAAATTAGAAGAGGCAGTTTCCTAATCTAAAAACACACATTACATTCAACTGCAGTTTACTCTTTTTTAAAATATTTGTGGTTTTTGTGTGTGGACATAGTAACCTGAAAACAAAAGCCTTGTACATTTGTTTCAGTTCCTTGGTGGAACAGGATCTGTCCTTCCCTCATATTCACATGGCCTTGGGTCTTGTGTGGATGGATCATCTCTGGGAGTGTGTGGATATGATTTAGAGTGGCCTGTTGAGAAGTTGAATTAATTTTTATGAATTGATAGCAGATATAACAGACTGAATAGGAAGGTTTTCATTTGCAAGAGCAATCTCCCTGTCTGAAAGTGTTCAAGCAGCAGGAAGGAAGATGGGGATGGGATAGCAGTCTGTGTGAGGGGTGTAAGGGGTTTTGGTTATGACCGTGGTGAAGGTTGGGTGCGTGGAGATTTGACATGGGTACCTATACTCTCCGGTACCTGAGAAAGAGTACAGAAATCTACCTCTCCCCACACCTTTCCAACTTCACCCTAAGGCCAGTGCCTCTGCTTTGCTCAGAACCTAAATAGAAATCTTAGTCATAAAGGGCTGGTGCTCGGGTCTAATGCATTGTCTCGGAGATTATAAATTTTGCACAGTTGTCCACTTTCAACATGGCGAAGAGAGAGAGTTCAGCAATGATTGAGGAAGAACCTAGGAAGATGGTCCTGAGGAAGTATGCATTTGTAAATACAAAGAAAGAAGAATTTTAGATTAATTTTAATGCTACATCACAGAGAATAATAAAGTGGTCACTTACGACTTGAAGCAGAGAAAGGTATCCAAGTCCCACGTTATCGAAGTTTACTTTCACGTTTTTCCACCGGGCAGTTTGATTGCTCTCTATGAGGGCTTTACACTCGCTGTAGTTGTTGACTACGCTCACGTCGAACATCTCTCCAGTGGTGAAGTTAATACAATGATAAAACTTGCCAGCAAAGAGATTCACTCCCATGATACTGAAGATTAGCCAAAAGATCAGACAAACCAGAAGTACATTCATTATGGATGGAATGGCTCCTAAAAGAGCATTGACAACAACCTGGCACAAAAATGAGAAGGAAAAAAAGGTGAAAAGTCAACAACAAATATTTACTGTTAGTTATTTTTAAACAGAATAAAAAGAACAACAGTCAAATGATAAAAAGTATATCTGTTCTTAAAGTTAAATGTTAGGCAGAAACTAGACTCTGGTAGCTCTGACTAAAATTTTTAATTATACTAAGAATAGTGTAAATTAAATTTTAAATTGTAGAATGCTTTGTCAAGAGGTAAGGCCATACATGTAGCAAATGTTCATCAAATAATGGAACTAATTATATTATGAATGAAAAAAATAATTAAGGGTACAAATAGTGACATGACTACAGAAGTAATGTCATCATGTGAATATCACAATTTTTTAGTCATGCAAACCATAAAATTTACTATCCAAAATTTGAGAGTAAAAGACAACACTTGACAGTGAATTTCTAGGGTGAAAAGGAACACTAATAATAATTATTAATATTAATAATAAGTGCAAGCGAGGACTGCCCCAAGCAATGTAGTTAGTGTAGGGTCATCCTGCATATAAACTCAGGAGCAAAGAGATCGGAGTGTGGAGAGTGAACATATGGTGAGGAGAAAGGGTTTGGAAGCCAGGAGATCTGTATTCCAGTTCGTATCACAAATCAGCTGTGTGCCTTTCAGTAAGTTATTTAACTTTCTGACTCTAAAGATCCTCTTTTGTGGAATCCCTTTCAGAAGAAATTCTCAAATTATAAAATGAAATATTACATAATCAGAACAGGCTGAGCTATGAGTAGCTATATTTGCATAAAACGCTACAATTTGAGCGCAAGGATTTCACTTGGTGGCTTTCGCTTACAGCTTTCTCAGTTAACCACGGCTTTTGAGGAAACTTTTTCAGAATATTTCTTAATTATCCCACATGTAAATATTTAGCTAAGTATTTTGTTCTGCACAGGCACACCTAAACTACATCAGAAATAAACTTTGTCAATGAATAGACATGTACAATATAAAAAATAACATGCATTAGCCTTCCTGAAATCCCTTATGGGAATAAAGTACATAGCAGGGGTGTCAAAAAAATGTATACAAGTGGACACTTTGATCAACGTTGCTCAAGCAGTAGTTCGCCGTAATCAGAAGTGTCTGGACGCTGATGGTAACCACTTTGAGCACCGCTTGTAATTGCAGAAGTCAAACGTCACTTGTGTTCATCTTTTGTATTGGTATATATTGAGTATTACAATTTTAATACAGTTTTCCTTTCTTAAAATGTGTACACATTTTTTGGCACCCTCTGTATAAATACATGCACACATATAAAAATACGAGTAACGACATCTTACAGCAACAATACCAAATGGGTACTTGACAAAAGGCACAATTCATCTGCAAATTAGCACCTGGAACCTATTCAGTAAAGGATAATGTTTTAATATATTTTTAAATGGAATAAAGTTTTAAAAAACTTATTACAGTGTTAAATTACTGCTAGAATTTCAACTGTCTGATAATTCAGAGGTATTTGACACTTCATCTTTAAGTTTACCACAAGGAATGCTTTACTATGCAAATGTGAGGAGACACTGGTTGATACAAGTTTAACTTTTAAATAAAGCTGGATAGCAAGGAAATAATACATGTGTTTTCCAAGGGAGTCAAATCTATGGGAGGACTAGGAATTTAGGTTCTTATACATGCAGATTCAATATAGAAAATATAAAAATTATTCTAGTACTGAAAGTTTGATTCCATTTTTTAAAATAAAAACTACTACTGCAAAAACAGTAATTTTAACTTGGTAAGATGAAAAGAACTTAAAGGCAACCATGTGCACACAGGAACACACACCTACACCCACAATTCTTTTCTGGTTGTGTTTGCAACATGCACAGAAAGGCCTAAGTAACGATTTTCAAATATCACAAAAAGCATCATTTAAAAAAAATTCCTTTTAAAATTCCTTTTAAAACTAAATCCACTGTGACAGGGCATCATCATTTCCTCACTGCAGAGGGTATGTGGTCTCAGGTTTTGTGCCCCAGGGGATGACAAATGACAGCACACATTCCCCCTTGTTCTTTTGTACCACCTTTCTAAAATGAGTGTTGGATTTCAACAGTTGACCTACTTCCTAGTCAGCTCAGCCTGTGTTTGAAAGCTAGAAGGCCACATTCGGGCTTTGAGAGGCTCAAAACACATCATATGGAGCAATGAAGAAATGAGAAATGACTACGTGGTTTTAAATTACAGTGAGTGGGATTTCCTGCACATTTATAAATGGAATGAACATAATTAATCTTGACTCACATCAGAAGTCTACACAACATGATAGAGATTTCCCATAGAGTCAAAAATCTAGTTAGAAGCAATCACTCAGCCATTATATTCTGTGAGTGTCTCCATCCGTGTCAAGTTTATGGATGTCTGACAAATATTATTGATTGATTGGTTCCGTCACTACGAATGTAGAAGACACATATTCTCCATGGATTTGTCATTTTTAAGGAACAAAATGTCAGTCTGTTCTTAATTATAATTCCAACAAACTCTAAAGTATTTGGTCTTACCCTCATTCCTTCAAATCGGGATAAGGCTCTCAATGGCCTCAGAGCTCTTAGTGTTCTGAGGGATTTGATGGCACCAAGTTCTGAGTAACCCAAGGCATTTGCAGTTAAGCTAACCAATGAGACCTATACAGAAAAAGCAACACAATTTTCTTATTTACAGACAAAAAAACTTACACAGTTCAACCTTGCTCTATGCAATAAACCAGTACTTCTTAAACTTTAGTGAGTATCAAAATCACCCAGAGGGCTTGTTGAAAACACAGAATCCTGGTAGAGTCTGATTCAGTAGGTTTGGGGTGGGGCTTGAAAATTTGCAATTCGTTAAGTTCCCAGGTGAGTCTAATGATACAGATCTGTGAGCCCCAGTTAGAGAACCATTGCCATAACATATGAAAAAGAAACTACACGTTCTCTTTTCAAGATTCTTGACAAGAACTTTTTAAAATTAAATGCAAAACAAGAAAAAGGACACAGACATGCAATCTTCATCTACAGATCTTTATCTATAAAACTTTATCATTTCTCATATTATTTAGCCGACCTGAAAGGGAAATGAAAACTTAGTATAGGTAAACTATGCAAACCACTGGTGAATCTGAACATAAATACATTCAGAAAGATCTAGGCCTCTAAACAGAAAGATCTAGGCCTCTAAACAGTGGCATTGCTTTTCTGTAAATTTTAATGTGAGAGTATAAAATCATTAATTAGATAAAATTAAAATAATTAGCTCAAAAGAGCTGAGATTTTAGTATAACTAATTAGAAATTGTCAGAACATTTTCTTTGATCATTTATGTAGATGACTAACGTAGTTGATAAAAGTTGTAAAATCTCAGCTAAAAAAGAAAAGTGTAACTGTCATAGAAGGCACAAAAATGTCTGATTTCCTTTGAAAAAACATACAAAACTCATTGAAACTGTATTAGCTAAGGAAAGCTATTTTCTCCTACAGTACCCTGAATTTCAAAACCAGATAAATTAAAATAGATGTGTAATATACCTTTTAAGAGTATGATATTATTGGATACTTGAAAAAATAATTTTTAAGAAAAATAAATGAAAAAGAAAATTTTTACAACAAAACTTGACTTATTCAAAATAATTTTTCGCATATAATCTGAAATACTGAAATCTCTAAATTTGGGAAAAAATGAGCTATAAAAATTTATCTTAAGTGGCTAATGTATTTTTCGCAGAAATCTAAACTTTTAGGCTTTGTAAATCTCCTCTTCACAGACAATTGAATAAACAGTTACTGAATTATCACTTATTGTGCATATTTTCTGCATATAAAATTTGAGGACCTATAGTACCTTGTATTCCCTGAAGACAGAACCAAAAAAAGATAGAAAAAAATTAAAGGATAAATTGAAAGAAAAAAGTTAGAATAAGGAAAAAAAATTCCGAACAAATGCAGTATTTATTGGCTAATTAAAAGAAGTGGTAAAATATCCAATTTTATGTGATTTGTGTAGCTAAGTGTGCAAAGGAGCTACATTTAGTACTTTTCGTCTTTTTGGAGCAATCCCTTAAATGGTCTTTTGGCCTCTAAATAATCCCCTTTTTATTCCATCATTTATACCTCCACGAAATTTCTCTCCCTAAAACAGTGAGCTTCTCTTGTCATTTTCCATAGGTAATATACAATGGCTTCTTCTTCTCTAAATCATAGGTCTAACTCTCGTTGGATGGCATCTCAGGTTCTTCAAACTCTTCTCCAACTTACTTTTCTTATCTTATAATCCCATTACAGGATGCCTTCCCTCACCCTGTGGCACTGTGCTTATCCTCTAGGGCTATTTGTTTCTTGAACCAGCCCAGCTGGCATGCATCGGTGTCTTAATGCTTTGGTGCCCTTCCCCTCCTCCGTACCTGCTGACAATCTCATCCCTCAAACCCACACTCTCACACTGTACTGCCCTCATAAAGCCTTTCCTCCTTCCTCATTGAAGTGAATGTCACTTCTAATACAGATGTCATCTTTTAGTTGTATACATATCTGTCCTCACTAGTCAACTGCACACTCCCATGGGCCCAGAAAAATGACATTCATATTAGTATCTTCAATAACAAAATAATGATCAATAGGGGCTGGCTGAGTGGTGCATTGGTTAGGAGTTGGCTTGGGACACCAGTGTTGAGCAGCAGGGACCCAGTTCAAATCCCACATGAGTGACGCTGCACCCTCTACAGCTAAGATGGTGAACAACAGCTTGTCCTGGAGCTGGGCTGCTGTGAGTGGCCGGCGATGGTGTAGGCTGCAGTGGGGCTGGCGGGAAGTGGGCCTGAGCTTTCATGAGCTGCCGTGAGTGGCCATCCTATGGCCCGCAAGTGACTGCCTCACCCAGGAAGAGTGCAATGATAATACCAACATGGGCCAGTGAAGCAACGCCCTCCAAAACTAGACTGAAGGACAAAAGAACAGCAACTTGTCTGTTCCCCTTCCCCAATTCCCCAACGCTGTTCCCCTCCCCCAGTTCTCCAATAAAATCTTTAAAAAAAAAGATCAATAAATATATCGATATAAAGCCAAGTATTGATTAGTTTAATATATTATAATAGTTTTCTTAAATTTTAAGAAGGTAAATATCAGGATATGTTAGGTAATATGAACACCAGCTGCAGGACTAGATTTCTCTTAAGAATTTCTTTATATTCAGGTAGTGTTGACTTAATGGCTTTATTATTACATAGTTATATTAAATATTAGATATTTTTATTATAAATTTACCAATGTATCATATCCACATACAAAAAATTTTAAAAAGTGTCATCTGTCTCCTTCTATGAATAAAAGAATGGCTATAGTCTTGGTATAGTTTTCCATTGTTTGTAATATCCAAATATATGTGGTTTTAAGTATTATCTATTGTCTTATTTTATTGCCAGAAAACTTTTGATGTAATCCTGCATGTAGCTTTGTATGTTATATTTAATAGTAGATTTGCTTTAGGCAGATTAGAAAACAACAACAAAAACAACAACAAAGGTATCTTTCTCTCTTAAATTCAAAGAATTCTCTTTATCCCTTATGAAATGTTTCCCTCCATTTGGTGATTGGAAAGCTCATACTAGATTAAGAGTTGTCAGTTTTTTCACCTGAAACTGTAAAACATAATTTTCTCCAAAAAAGGTCCATTTTTTTTCTTTTGCTAAAATGATATGTAAATTTATACATCAAATATGTCTTTAATTGCCAACCAAGGAATTATTACAATCAACAGACTATCATCTTTAAAATGCACTCTTAAGCACATTGTGCTTTCCTGAAAATTCTATGGTCCTCCTCCTCTATGTTGACTTTATCATCCTGTCCCTTCCCCCACGTCCCTGTCCCCTCTCTCCACTGGCTCCCCTATTCTTTTCTAGACAAAAGGTCTTTAAGTTCCATCCTATCTGTTCTGAATGAACTGCTCATTTAAAAAGCATTTAAGAAGTATATTGCTAAACTAAAGAAAAATGACTTAAAAATTTTTGTTCAGTTATGATTTTATATTTGTGAATAAAAGGTGAGATTTTCCTCATGCTCCATTTTTAAAAGCCTCTTATATTCTGGTAACTATCATACAAATCAGTAAGTGTCTCTTGCTATTTGTTCTTCCAAATTTCTTTGTAATTAGTAATCTATCTGAGGGACAAACACTTCTCAACAGTCTTTGGTGATGACAAAAACACTAATGTCAAAGATGCCTGTGAAAAATTCTTATGTGAAATGTAAGAGTGAAAAAAGCAGAACTTCTACATTAATATATTATTTTGTATAACTTGGGATTTTAAACATTAATTTGAAACTAAGTCAATAATTATAATATGACATTTGGCTGATTCATCTATGCAAGTACATGTATTTAAACTGTCCAAAAATATGATTTGGGGCTTCTTCTCATTGGGATAGTGGGGATCATCAGTTTTGTGTTTGGGCCCATGAAGACAGTAATTGCCGAGTACCTACTATGTGCCAGGCCCCACTGCAAAGACTAGCACATAGCACCACAGGCCAACAGAATGATGCAAGAAAGTGCAGAATACTCACATCAACGATCAGGAAATCTAGCCAGCACCAGGCATTGGTAAAATACATTTGAAAGCCATATGCGACCCACTTGAGAAGCATTTCCAGGATGAATATGTAAGTGAAGACTTTGTCAGCATATTCTAACATGGTTTTAATGGTTTTTCGTTGCTCAATATATATGTCTTCAAAGGCCTGTAAGTGAAAAAATCCCATTAAATTTTATTGTCATAAACTGTTTCTAATTGATAGCTCATTAGAAAAAACATGCTACAAGCCTCTTCTCAGGTGCTTTGTGTTTCCCAAACCTGTATTTTGCTTTATGGTAATTTGTATGCAAACGACCACTGACTGGGCATTTCAGTCAACCATTAAATTCAAATAATTTAAAAATTCTGGTATCAGTGAAAAGAGCTTAAAATGTTTAACTGCCAGTTGCTTCTTTCTACAGCAGGAGGCAGAAAGTCATCTGCAAATAGGCCTCTTTTGTTTAGTGCAGAGTCATTGCAATGTATCTCTCCTCTCAGTGATGTAAAGATAAGGCAAGAAGCCCCTTCATCTTGGGGAGAGGAAGCTGGATTCTAATCTCTCACTGTCTCCTCTCTCTCTCTCTCACATACATGAAACCTGGGCATATATGTGTGTGTGTGTGTGTGTGTGTGTGTGTGTGTGTGTGTGTGTGTGGTGGTCGGGGGAGAGGGGGAAAAGGGGGAGGAGTGTATGCCGGAAGCTCCCTCTGCCATCATTTTGCAGTGCTCTTTGGGAAGGGTGGGCGTACTCATTTGCAGGAGCCCTTGGGACTTCTGGGATTAAAAGAGCATTTATGTAACTCGATCCCTTCATAGGAAAATCTATCAGGGTCACCTGGTAGTCTGGATTAAGGACAAAGGAAAAATTTCCCTTTGGAAGAAAAGTGGGATCTGGGATTGTGACCAGGAATTAACACAAGGGCCTAAATAAAGGCTTTTCAGCACAATTTATGGCTGAAGGTGGAAGCCCCTCAGAAGCCAGCCATTGTGCCAGCATGTTGGTGCACTTTGGTGAGCTCTGACTGGGTGTTAACTGAGAACCAAGAGGTAATAACAGCAGTGACACTTGTCACTGATGAGACATCACAGTACCCTTTCTACGTGGCATTTAAAACACAGGGCTGACCCTCTTTGCTTTGACTACATGGCAGGATGCAGGATTCTTAGTCAAATCAGAGGTGGGCTTAGAGTCTTCCAAAATCCTCGTATTAAAATCGTTGTAACAAACACTATTGACTAATTGAAAAAAAATAAAAGAAACGCAACTATGCCTGTATTACCAAATGGGAAAATGGGTCACACTGTTTTCATTATATTCTTCAATATTTTGACCAAATTGACCATTCTGTTGAATGAAATCAGACATAAAATAAGTTTGTAATACTTGCACTTTGCTGCTAGTCAGTAATTATATTAGGCTACTATTTACCACTCACTATGATTGGCACTAGTGAATCAGCATGAATGAGATAGGTGAGTTCCTTGCAGCAATGACGTTTATGTTAAGCAGTTTGATATTTAGCTTATAAACCCATATCATGTCTACATAGTCATTATTAATAAGAACTGTCTTTGATGACTGAAAGTCAAAAACAGCCTTCATTAAATAGTACAAAAACCTTACTGTTCTGGGTTTGATTCAATCAGAGGCCTACTCCAGAACAATAAAAGTTGCTATTTATTGAGCTTCTCACAGTTGTGCTAAAAATATCGCGCAATGTTTCTCACCCTCACAAACAAATTATTGTAAAAAACATGTTATAGGAGGTACACTGAGGGAAAGGTACAGGGCTGCAGCTGAAGGTAAAGGAACAGATCATACACCACCTACCAGGGCCCCACTGCTGAGCAGAATCATGAAGACAATGAAGGTTTCAAACCAGTTATGCTCCACTATTTTATAGCAAGTTTTTCTCAAGTTCCACCAGAGTTTTCCTTTGCCTTCTTCTATGCTTATCTGACAACATTTAAACTTCCGCACACAGTCTAAAAAATGTCAAAGTAAATGAAGAAAAAAGTTAGTTTGATTATGTCATTTGTGTTGGTGGAAGATTCATCTACTTTATTACCCGATACATTGTAAATGACTTTACTTTTTTAAGATGGCTTTCACTTACAGAAACTAAAGTCATTGATATGATTTAATCATTCATTTGATAATTTTTTATGTAATGAAACTATTATAATGGATTATATTACATTATAAAAACATTATAGAAAAAGAAAACGAAATTTAAAATCACCAAAAGTTGATATTTCCATTCTATTCTTATCCTATGAGTGCAATTCCATTTATATATGGACATG